TACTTCCACTTTTACCAGAGTATTTTTTAACACAAGTATCTGTACTTTTACTCAAGTATGGAAAGTGAGTACTTTTCCCATCTCTGGCGAAATGTTCCTCTTAAACCCACCTGATACTGGGTTGATTGACCGGACCTTATTTATACCCCAACACATGCCAGATTTCAACATGATGGTGAGCCATTTAAACACAACACCAACAGCAAAGCAGACAGTGGTACTTTTAATTACTATGTTAATAGCTGTGTATAGTTCATTAGACGGTTGGTAAAAAATACACTCATATGTTTCAAACCGCAATTAAGATCTTAAAAGAACAATGCATTTGAGTATTTTATTTTTACAAGACGACTTGGAATTATCGGTAATCCAGAGTGTAGATTAAAACCATAACCGTAATGAGCAATATGTTAGCGACGGGGGGTCGGTTAGGGGATGGGGTTTTGTACTTCATATGGGGCCCACCCACATAATGTTGCTATTGTTGTGTCGTTACACCATTGTCATTAAGATATTTTTTTCTGTATTGTATTCTTCAGGGAATGCACTTCTGAAACTGGAAAACATTAGAAATACAAGGGGGGTCTGATCATCTTTTTTCATTAATGAAACTTCACAACTACTGTTTGCATATTCAAACCTATTCCACCTTGCAGTGTATTTGATATAGAATAGACCTCTGACTTTAATGTGGTATTATGATCCTAGTTTTGTCATGCATCAAAGTTGCTGCATGAAAACATCACGTGTTCAATTACAAGCTTGAAAATCTAGTCAAGGCAAGTTTATTTGTATAGCATGTTTCACTGACAATAGAGTTCAAAGTGTTGTACATGAACAGAACACAAAAAACACACAGAAAAATAGATACAGTGGCATAAAACATAGAAAATTAGAAGATAGACTGCAGTATAAAAGAAAAGGTTGGTCTACAAACTTAAACTATTGATTTTTCTAGAGTGTATTTCAGTAGAGCATTCAAGGTAAACTCTAAACAAATAGAATTTTTAGCGTTTTTTTTTTTAAACTTTGTTTTTTTTACCTAAACCCATTACTATGTTTTAATAACATAGCAGCAGTAATGGAGTTTGAAGTGCAAATTCTGATTTGGTGAAACAATCTTGATTTTCCAACTTGAAGCTCAAAATGAGTAATTTTCCATTACATTCATAATACCTTTGGCTTAGACAATAGTACATTTTATAATATTAGTAGTATTACTAGTAGCAAAATGGTTTTCTGAAAGAAGCTAAATCCAGTTGTTCATATGTAAGTCATCAATTCGATGCTTGTAAAATTATGGTAAGCTAAACAAAGAGGAGCAAAAAACAACAAGACTTAAAAGTATTTTAGGATATGTATTCAAACCTACTCACAGCTAAAGACATGCTACATTTGAACTATTTCATTTAATATGTTGCTCATCTATTATATTCACATTTATAAGACAGCACAAATAAGCACAAACGTATATAAAATGAGGTGATATACATAGTAAAACAAAATAATCTGCACTTAATAAGTCTGGTTCATTTATAATGTGTTCTAAGGACCTGAGTATGGAAAAGTATGGAATTTGCTTTAGTATTTCTTAGGCATAAAAATGTTACAAAAGTGTTATATATAACTTACATATTTTGTTATTTTATTATAAACCATTTTAAAATATATTAAAAAGAAGAGCATAGTCTTAGTTTTCATTCACATTATAAAACTCTTTGTAAAAATGTACCAAATCCATTTTTCTGCATAACTACACGCATCAACAGTAAACCCAGCTAAACAACCATTTTTCTATCAACCTTGAAATGTTATGAAGGACAAGAGAGTAAACATATTATAATCAAGAGAACTTGTGATTAATACATCACACTGATTGAGATATATTTTGTTGTACTTTTTATACTTAATGTATAAAAACAATATCTGAAATAGACATTTTAGATTGCATGAAAGAAAAAGACTGGTAATAATCCCTAGAGTGAGTATCACTTAGAAAGAATGGAAGTTGTACATGTCGCTAAATTTGTAGTTAATTTCGCCAGTGTGGCCATGGGGCAAGCTTTTACTAGCAGTAAGAGGTTGCGGTGAATTAAACACCCCTGGGCTGTCGGTCTCCTCTGGCATATTGGCACTCCTTGATAAAGTCAGAGAGTCGGCATGAGAAAATTCAGTACTGGTTTGTCCAAAGGATGTCCATGTGTCTGAGGCTAAGGAAGAGCACTCTGCAGAGTCGAAGCTGGAGCACGAGTAAGCAGGGCCACTAGTAGACATTCGAGATTCGTGGAGATTCAGTTTGGAGACCAGGGGTTTGCCCACTGTTACAGCCAGTTGCTCTTGTACCTCTTCATCCATGTTGGAATATGTGTAATGAAGGCAGACAGTAAAAGTGAGGTCCGTCTGTGAGGTGAATGAAAAGCAGAATGTCTTCTTTAAGTCAAAGAGCATAATAATATAAACAGAAAACTCACACCCCTGTAACAGTTCCACTTGTCTTTTTAAAGTTAACATACCAACAAGGTTTCTACTAACTGCATTCATTACAAATGAAGAAAGACTATCGGTTGGCCCGCAAAGGGATTTTGGCAAACTTTCCGGTGCTTCTGGAGAGGGAATAAGGGGTTTGTTTAGCCTTTTTTCTAGTTAGGCTTAATTCTATGGAGATCTACCCCAATTACTTTGGAGCTCTGGGCATGGCAGTCAAAGGACAGTGCCACTGGACTGGCAGACTGGGATATTGGTTCCTCTTTATAAGAAGGGGTACCGGAGGGTGTGTTCCAACTATAGTGAGATCACCTATCTCAGCCTCCACAGGAAGGCCAATATCACAGAGCTGAAGAGGAGAGTCCAGCTGATTGTCCAGCCTCGGCTTCAGAAGGAGCAGTGTGGTTTTCATCTCAGCTGTGGAACATTCGACCAGCTCTACATCCCCTGCAGGGGGTTTTTGGGTTCATGGGAGTTTGCCCAACTGGTCCACATGTGTTTTGTGGACTTGGAGAATGGATTCAACCATTTCCTTTATGGGGCCCTGTGAGGGGCACTCACAGAGTACAGGGTATGGAGTCTTATACTAGGGGCCATCTGGTCTCTGAAGAAGCAGAGCAGGAGTTTGATTCAAGCATTAAGTCAGACCTGTTCCCAGTGTGTGTTTTGGGAGGGCTGCTCTCTGTCAATGGTCATGTTCATAAACTTTATGGACCTGCTTTTATATTTTGCTGGCTCCCTCCTACAAGACCTATAGCATGGACTGGGGCTGTTAGCAGCAGAGTCCAAAGTGGCCAGAATGAGATTCAGGGGTTCTAAAACATCAAAATGATGGCTTGTCCCCTTTAAATAGGGGGAGAGTTCCTGCTTTAAGTGAAGGAGTGGGGTCCCACTCCTGGAGTGGGAAATTGATAAATGGATCATTGCAGCTGCCACTATAATGCTAGCACTGCAACAGTCTATTGAAGTAATAAGATTGCCCAGAGAAAAGGTTAAACTAGTAATCTACCAGTCATTCTATGTTCCTACCCTCAAATTCTAGGTGGTGACTGAAATAACGAGTTCCAGATATGAGCAGCTGAAATTAGCTTTATCTGCAGGGTGGCCATGCACATGCGGAGCTCGGTCATCCGTGCAAGGTTCAGAGTAGAGCTGCTTTATCCTTCACATCCAAAGGAGTTTAGGTGCTCGGGCATCTTTATTGGATGCAACCTGGACGCCTCCCTCAGGAGGTGTTCCAGGCATGTCGCACCTGGATAATGCCCAAGACATAAGCAAGGACCCGCTGGAGGGACTATGTCTCTCAGCTGGCCAGGGGAAGTCCTGGGCTTCCCCCAGCTGAGCTAGGGGAGGTGTCTGGGAAGGGAGGTTTGGAAGATACGGTTCATTTTAATTTTCCTATTTAAATTGCTA